AGAGATGTATGCATGAAAACTACTTTAAATGCATGCTAAATATGCGAAATATAAGAGTATATCAGTGCATGACTGTGGTTGGTTTCTAGGATCGTTGGATTGCTAGGGTTGAATGTTTTGCATGTTTGATTGTGTGATTGTCATGTTGTGTGTTTAGAACTGTTAAGCGATTATATGTTATGGTATTGTGAGGTGTTTACCGTGGCATAGATGATGTCTAGCTAACCATAGGGTAATCCGGATCATGTACTAGCTTAGGGGATGTGGGATTCTCGCTGAAGTACACATAGGTCTTAAAAAGGGATTGATCTTGGGTTGTTAGGTTAGATGATCATGGCCGTTTGATATATGTGTTATGTCTATTGCGAAATGATTGTGTGGCATGTTGAATCTGATAGTATGAATGCGTGATTGGTACTGACCAGGTGTTACGGGATGACCGTACTCACTAAGTATTTATCAAATACTTATGCCTCTCTTCTTGAGTGTGCAGGTAATAAGCAGTAAAAGGAGCGAGACCAGGCGGCAGTGATGAACATGGATGGATCGGGGATTGGGTGTTTATTTATGTTTAAGACGTGTGCTTTGTCTTATGAGGTTTGGTGTTAAGCGTTTTAGGTTGCTAGATGATATGATGTAATCGTTAGCGAACCATGGTGCTTTGTTTAAGTTAACTCTGAATCCTGATTAAGTGTTTTTATTCAAGTTATAATGAAATGAAGGTATTCTTTATTCCGCTGTGTATTGGTTAAATGAAAGAAAAGGTTTAAAATTTGGCTAAGTATAGAAACCGAACTGTTAGGATGTAGTGGGGCACGGCTGCAGTATAGTTTGCCGGGTCGGGCTACCACAGCATTTATCAATGGAATTTCAATCACCAGCTTGTCCATGATAGCTTTGCACTTGGCATTTTCAAGCTCCTGTTTAGACTTCTTAGGATGCTTAGGATAGGGTATCTTAGGCTTATACACCTTCTCCTTTATATTGTCTGCAGTTTCAGACGAAATAGCCTTCTCTCGGGGTTGGTGACGAGCGTCACCCTCCTGGTGACGATCGTCACTGCTTGGTGACGAGTCCTGGGTGATGACTCCTCTCGTCACCACTCCGACGAAACGTATATTTTCTCTTTGTAAATCTGGTGACGAGCGACACCCATCTGTGGTGACGATCGTTACTCCCTCTTTCTCAGCTGAAAATTCATCATCTTCCACTTCTTCAAGTTCCACGATTTCCTCTGCACTTAAACCCTTCTTCAACACTGGTTGAAGGTTTCTTCCACTCTTCAGTGAGATGGCATTCACGTGGTGCTTAGGATTAGCATATGTCCTTCCAGGAAGGAATCCCTCTTGCCTTTGAACAGCTCATGCAGCTTGAGCAACTCTGATATCCAGCTTCTTCACATGAGAGTTCAGACTCTCAAGTTTCCCATTCAGGTCTTGGTATAGCGAATCCATCTTTCCATTGAAGTCCACAGTCATCTGCTTCTGTCCTTCTAGAAGCTGTTCAACAAAGCTTCCACCTTATTGTCTTGTGCAGGTGTAGGTTGATCGGAAGAGGAACCATAGTTCCTGTTGAAGTTGTTGCTGTTCTGATATGGTTTATGAAACTCAGTCTTCTGAAACAGTGGCTTTGGAGTATAACCAGAAGAGTTGATCTGGTTTCCTGTGAAGGCACTCCTCTGATTATTTCCATTTTAACCTCTGTTTCCTTGCTGATTCCAAAACCTTTGACTCTGAAAACCCCCTCCATTGATGAAATTAACATCATCTTGCTCAAACTCTTCAGGATTTTTGAAAGTCTCCACCTCTGTAGCAAACTGGACTGATTATTTCCCACCATAAGGCTGTGCATACTGTCTAACTTGGCCTTGACCTCAGCAATTTGGCTTCCATCAGTCATTCCAGCTTGCTTCAGTATTTGAAAATCAAACATTCTTGGTGTTGTTACTGGATGCGAGATTTTCAATAAGCACATGTGCATCCTCTGGAAGGTTTGTGTTGATGTTGCCACTGCTAGCATCATCCATCGCCATATGGTATTTCCAATCCACTCCTCTGAAGAAGATTCCCAGCAGTTGAACCTCACTGAACCCATGGTGTGGACAGTCTCTTTGATATGCCCTGAATCTAAGCCAAGCAGTAGGTGCTTGAGAAAAGGTAGAGATTTTCGTCCTCAGCTCTTCAGACCTGGCATCATCATAGAAATTGTTCAAAAATGTGTTCTTGGGGTCCTCCGAAGTGGTCAGCGATCCTGGTAGAACCTGTTTCAGCCAGTATGTTGCATCTCCTCCAAGTGAGTATGGGAAGAGCTTGCAGCAGAGATAATCATTGGACACACCATTGTATTTGATACTAGTTACCAAGTCCTCAAATATCTCAATGTGGTCCATTGGGTGTTCATGAGGAAGACCATGAAAAGGGTGTTGAGCCACAAGTGTGTAGTAAGCTAGCTTCAGCTCAAAGTCATTCCTCTGAAAAGGAGGTGGGCGGATTGCAGCTTTGTTCGCGTAGAACTGATCAGGCCTGTTATAGTCACCAAGTGTTCTCCCACGCCCAGTAGCATTCAATGCAGCAGGAGGCTGCGCCTGATTCCCAGCTTGTTGAACAGCCTGTTTAACTATAACATCACCATTCTGATCAAGTCTCTGCCCCTCTTCGTTCCTCTTGTTCCCATCTCTGTCAACCAAGTGACCTTCTGCATCAATGATCAAGACAATCAGAGTGACCATTGTAGATTGTTTCTTAGCTTTTCTGATATAGCAAGTTCGTCGATATGCAAGGTCACAAGCTCCTTCTCTTTGTTGCTTCTGGTACTGCGATTATGCATACACCTGAAACAAGAAAGAAAAATCGCAAAAGTTAGTAAACAAAATAAAACTTAGGCAAAATCCTAATACTAAAAATCTGTAGGCAGCTATTACTCCCCGGCAACGGTGCCAAAAACTTGATCAGGGTCTAGTTTTACCCAATTTAAAGTACTACTGCAAGTGCACAGCAACGCAGTTGTAGCACAAAAGATTATCGAATCCCAATGGAGTAAGCTACTACACTAAATAATTTAGATTCAGATTATGCTAAGCGGTAATGAATGAATGAAAAGTGAAATAACGAAATAAATGAAAGCAGGCGATTTGTTGGTAGTTTCTAAAGTTCAGAGAGCTAAAAACGCTAAGCTAGGATAATTCACAGGTTGAATCCGAGAATGTATAATGCATGCAATCAATAAATAATTAAAACCTTCTAGAACTCGAAACACAATGATATAACTAATCAATTCTTATTGCAAAAGTTATCTACGCCTAAATTCCAAAATTTCAAATCTCTTTGCAAATTCTAATAACTTAAACAAGCTGTAATGATCAGGTTTCGATTGTTCACAAAATTCTTAAATCAAATCTCTTTGCAGATAGTAATTTTGCTTATCTAATACTAGTTCAGATGATTAATAATGTTCTCACATCTATTAAACAACCTAGGGTTTCGATTTATAGATGATCAGTCTTAAAATCGATATGACTACAAGTCTAGATGAAGAACCAATGGATTTTTCTAACAGTTTAACAATTCTACAAACTCTTTATCAACCTCTAAATCATCCTAACCTAACTTGCAGATTACTCAGACATGATTTTAAATGAACAAAACATAGCTGAATAATACTGCATAAAATAGATAAAAGTATAGATACAAGGGTTCGAAATCTTCTCTAAAAGAGTACATGATTTGTCTCCTTCAATGCTCTGAAATCAATCTCTCTCTGAAGCTCTCTAGAAAATAAGATACCAGCCAAAGAATGCCCGAAAAACCTAATATATAAGCTAAAACACGAGTGGGACAATTTTGTAAATAATAGAACTTCTGGGCCAAAGGTGCAAATCTTCCTCCATCTTTTATTTAACACGCGACTCTTCCTTAGATGTGGGAGATGAGAGTCACCCTTGGTTGGTGACGATCGTCACCAGTGCAGAGTAACGCCTTCTTAGTTGCTTCATTTGGGAAGATCTCTTGCCTTGATCCAAAATGCTCCAAAACCTCCAATTGTGCTCCAAGCATGCAATAACCTGTAAAGACTCTACTAGGACTCTAAAAAGACCAAAAAGACTCAATAAAAAGGACTTAAATCATGGATAAAAACCATGAAACATCACTAAGCTTGAGTTCATTGTTTGTTATATGTATGGCTAAAGCTTTTGAAGTAAAACAATCTCTATGCATCTGAGAACCTATAACTTGGGCATTGAATCAATTTTTCCATTGACATCTTTAGTTTTGAGATTCCGCTTTCAAACCTCTCTCTCTCATTTGTTCTTAATTGCTTGAGGACAAGCACAAGGCAAGTGTGGGGGAGTTAAAAGACTCATTATTTATATCATATTAGCATACATTTTGCATTGTTTTATAGTCTCTAAGCATGCATTTTTGCTTGTTCTTGTCCTATTTGCATTCAATTAGGACTTTGTGTAGATTTAGGATGTGCATTGCATGTTTTGTGCATTTGGAGAGTTTGGCAGGTATATTTGGAGAGTTTGGAGATTACAAGGAGCATGGGAGATGATGGTGGATGCAACACAAGGCATGAAAAGAGCCAAAAGAGAAGGTGTACCTTGTTGAAGCGGCCAAAAACTGCGTCTGAAAGACCGGTTTGGATAAAGCATCTCCGTTCTGATTCAGCTTCGGCAGTCTTCATCAATGTTGTAACCCCGTGAGTAAGCTTGCGTATGGAGTTGGTTTCAGGTCCTTCCCAACGGCGATTAGAAAGGTACAGAAGGTTTTGTGAAACCGCTCAGATGATGTCGGGCAGCATATCGATCGTGGAGCCCGATATCCGAAAGACAGGACACCCATGTCGAGTATCATGACAAGCAAGGTGTGCCCGACATGAACCTTTAGGAAGTTCATGTCGAGCACAATGTCGACCATCCAGCCCGACATCCGATCCAGAAGAAGACCATGTCTAGCACGATGTTAAACTCTAATCTTAAACAAACCAAAATGGGATGTATTTATGGGAAGCTTGTTAGAAATATAATACAAACAGCGTAACTCGCAAAGACATGAAACAATTAGAGACTCAAAAATTCCAAACATCGTATTAATTTTGGACCATTTTGTTACACCAATCAATCGTGACTACAAAAAAAAATGCAATTTCTTTAAAATCACCCAAATATTACGTGTCTATACAAATTATTACCACCATCAACATTAGAATAGCTCCTAACTGGATATGGATACCTCGCCACCTGTGGTTTCTCCTCCATCGCCATAACCTTACCGGAATTTCGGTACCACGGTCCTACATATGGACTACAAGAAGAAGATACATTTGATGATGAACCATCGACGATAACCGAACCCCAATCCCGTTCACCGGTTGCTTCGGTTATCCTCTTCCGTACCAATAATTTACCAACGTCTTCTCTTCTTCTCTGTGTCACGCTCCTTAGAATCGATACCGACAATAGCAAGACGAAAACCGCGTCTTCCTCAGGCAAAAACTCGACGGCTTGATGCTTCCAATCGATCAGAGCCGTTGCTTTTTCTGCTGAATCTTGTTCTGTTGATCTAACTATTGTTACAAAACCTTCGTCGTCTTCTTCATTTTCTCCTTTATATTGCATTCTCCGTCCAGTTAATAGCTTAACCTATATAATAAACTCCACCACCAAACATGTAGAAACCAGAGATAAAAAACGCATAAAAGTTCTTGAATGTTGAATATATTACCTGCGAATCGGACTTTCTTGAATGTAGACAGAGTTCTGAGATAGATCCTGATGCGTCCCACCGGATGAGTAAATCGTCTCCGGTCGAAAATTCCCAGGCCGCTTCCCAATCCTCCACCGGGTTTTTAGGCGTTACGGTACCAACCACCTTCTCTGTACTAGACGAGCAAACACAATGATCAGTACGCTGTTTAAGATTGCGATTCTTTCAAACGCTATTTTTGAGTTTGCGTTTACATGTTGTAATGTTTTATTCATTTTCGAAAACAGAACATTATGTAAATTGTAAAATGTAACCTCAAACGCCAAATGCAAAAAACTAAACAGAGTTCTCCTTCTTGACTTCTAAGCCACCTTAAGACTACCATTCATTCAAACGCTATGTTTTTACTTTGCGTTTACATGTGGAAATGTTTTATACAAAAAAATCATTTTCTTAGAAAACAGATCTGTTTGCAAAATATAAACGCAAACACCTAATGCAAAAAACAAAACAGAGTTTCTCTTCTCTGTTTAGCCAAATTAAGACTACCATTCGTTCAAACGCTATGTTTTTGTGTTTGCGTTTACATGTGGAAATATTTCATAAAACAGAACATTTTGCAAAATGTAAACGCAAACGTGAAATGCAGAAACAAAACAGAGTTTCTCCTTCTTGTCTTTTATGCCAAATTAAGAGTACCATTCTTTTAAAAGATATGTTTTTACGTTTGCGTTTACATGTGGGAATGTTTCATAAGAAAACTCTTTTTTTATTAGAACACAACTTTTTTTGCAAAACGTAAACTCAAATGCAAAAAACAAAACCGAGTTTCTCCTTCTTGTCTTTTAAGCCAAATTGACACTACCATTCTATCAAATGCTATGTTTTTGCGTTTGCATTTACATATGGAGTTGTTCCATAACAAAACTTCATGTTCTTAAAAAACAGAACATTTTTTCAGCAAAATGTAAAATCTGTTGGCGTAAGCTTGAAGACTAGATTAGGATTAGAAATTCTACTTAAGAGATATCTAAGTATAATTAGAATAGGAAATTGTCCTAAAAAAGAAAAGAAAACTTGTTTAGGTTCTTCTCTATATAAGGAGATGTCGAACTGTGACATAAATTATGACTTTAAGAGTTTGAGATTGAGAGTCTAAAGTTTTGAGTGATTTTCCTTAAGCTAATAAAGAGAGTTATTCTTTATACTTGTGTTCTTAATATTCTGAAGTTTTATATTTGGTATCAGAGCTTTGAAAAAGATCGTGAAGGAGTCTTAGATCGTGAGGGAGTCTTCTTTCTCTTTCACGAATACAGTGCTCTGTTTTTGTTAGATAGAAAACAGAGCTGGCCATCGGAGACGTCACAAGCAATGAGTGACGTCGTCGCAGTTACGACTGCAGCTGAAAAGAAAGCACCCAAAAGGGGGTCATCTTCGATCAAGTGTCTCATGCTGAACTCAACCAATTATACACTATGGGCCATTCGAATGAAGATTTTACTCAAGGTCCATAAGGTTTAGGCGATCATAGAAACACCAGCGGACTATAGTGAAAAGAACGACATGGCCATAGCCCTGTTGTTTCAATCGATCTCCGAGGCACTCATACTACAGGTTGGAGAGTTGGAAACGGCAAAACAAATATGGGTAGCCATTAAAGCAAGACATGTGGGAGTAGAGAGAGTCAAAAAAGCAAGGCTACAAACGCTAATGGCAGAGTTCGACCGCCTGAAGATGAAGGAGTCCAAGAAGATTGACGACTTCACTGGAAAACTATCCAAAATCTCATCGAAATCTGCTGCTTTTGGCGAAATCATCGAAGAACCAAAACTAGTCAAGAAGTTTCTTATGAGTCTTCCTCGGACAAAATACATACATATCATAGCATCGCTTGAGCAAGTTTTGGATCTCAAAACTACAAGCTTTGAAGAGGTCATAGGTTGTCTAAAAGCCTATGAAGAACGCATCACCAAAGAAGAAACCCAAGAAGATCAGAGTAAACTGATGTATGCGAACAATGACACTCATTCGACACAGCCATCTCGCGAATCCAGTGGCGGTTAGAAGCAGAGGTCGTGGAGGACGCTTTAATAACAGAGGAAGAGGTCGTGGAAGATCATATGAAGCGAGAGACTTGTCCGAAGTAATGTGCTTCCAATGTGACAAATACGGGCACTTCGCATCAAAGTGCCCAGATCGATTACTCAAATTGCAAGAGATACAAGAAAAGGACAATGACGAGAAGGAAGTGGCAGATGAGCTTATGATGCACGAAGTGGTTTACTTAAACGAGAGAAAGGTTGTACCAAACAAATATGAAGCGAATACAGGAGGAGAGGATATGTGGTACCTTGACAATGGAGCTAGTAACCACATGTCCGTAGATTTAAGGTATTTCTCCAGGATCGATTACAACATTACAGGAAAGGTGATGTTTAGCGATGATTCACGGATAGACATCATAATTTTACAGACAAGAATGGTGAACTAAGGTCACTGTTAAATGTCTATTTCATTCCGAGTCTAAGGAGTATTATTATCAGTCTAGGACAAGCTACAGAGTCGAGATGTGATGTGAGGATGAAAGGAGAGTACTTAATGATGACCGTGATGGGAAACTACTCTGTAGAATTATCAGATCTCGAAATCGGCTGTATAAGGTGCGTATGGGGATACACAACGACAAGTGCCTGCATTTGATGGTAACAAACGATTTAAGCAAGTTTCATGCAAGATTAGGTCACATTAATCTTAAAACAATCAAGTCTATGATACAGAGAGAGCACGTCATAGGAGTTTCAAAGATTGATGTTGAGAAGAAAGTGTGCAAATCATGCTTATTTGGAAACCAAGCAAGGCAAGCATTCACGCAAAGTACTATGTATCGAGCTACTAAGGTGTTAGAACTCCATATATATCTCTGCGGTCCCATAACGCCAAGTACTTCAGCTGGAAACAAATATATCTTTGTCCTAATTGATGATCACTCTAGATATGTAGACAAGTTTGTTGAAGGAGAGGAGTGAAGCATCAACAAATTTATAAGGTTTAAAGGACTGGTAGAACAAGAATCAGGCGCAAGTATACAAACTTTTCGAACAGATAGAGGAGGAGAGTTAGTATCCCAAGAATTTAACTCCTTATGTGATGACTCGGTATTAAAAGGCACCTCACAGCTCCATACACTCCTCAACAAAACAGCTTTGTTGAGAGACGCAACAAAACCTTGATGGAGATGACGAGAAGTATTTTAAAGCACATGGATGTCCCAAATTTTCTATGGGGAGAGGCAGTAAGACACTACATTTATCTCTTAAACAGAATAGCTACAAGGTCACTCAAGGATAAGACTCCATACAAAGCCTTTCGAAGCAAGAAACCTAATATTACTCATCTTCGAGTCTTTGGCTATATAAAATACTCAAAGGTGGAGACACCACACTTAAAAAAAGTGGACGACAGGTCACGCATGTTGGTTCATATTGGCACAGAACCAGGATCAAAAGCATATCGATTGCTTGATCCACAAACCCAAAGGATAGTGGTGAGTCGTGATGTGGTTTTCTATGAGACAAACGGCTGGAACCGGAGCAAAAGGAATTCAGATAGAGATAGAGCTGGTAATTTCAGGATCAATGTTGGAGTTTATGGCAATCATGGCATTCAAGATACAGAGCATATCGCCAATGAAACAGAGGATGGCATTGAGAACAACAAAGATAATGGAGGTTCGGGAGCTGATATCAATGCGGATGACAGTGAGGAGCAAAACGGTGAGGAGCAAAACCACGAGGTCAATGACGATGATGAGGATGACGATGATGATATTAATGAGACTAATCAGGCGGGACTAAGAAAAACAACAAGACAGAGGAGGAAACCAAAATACCTGGAAGCATATGAGTTACCGAAACACCTCGATAATTATGCTTTACTCGCTGATGAAGAAGGAGAATGGTTATTAACAAAGCTTTGTATGGCTTGTGAAGATAAAGTCTACGAGCTTAACAAAGCTTTGTATGGTTTGCAACAAGCTCTGAGGGCATGGAATGATAAGCTGAATCAAATTCTCAGAGGACTACAGTTCAAGAAGTGTTCTAAGGAACCATCAATATATCGAAAAAGGGTAGAGAACGATACTCTTCTTGTTGTGGTGTATGTCGATGACTTATTTGTCTCAGGGACAAATATACGAATCATAGAATCCTTTAAGAAAGATATGGCGTCTAAATTCGAGATGAGCGATCTCGAAATGTTGACTTACTACTTAGGAATTGAGGTATGTCAACTCAAGGATGGAATAACACTGAATCAAAACCGCTATGCTTTGAAGATCTTGGAGGAGGCTGGAATGAAAGACTGTAACCCGGTTCATACACCAATGGAGGCTGGACTGAAGCTGTCAAAGTCACTTGAAGAACAAGACATTGATGCCACGAGTTATAGGAAAAATATTGGATGCCTTCGCTATTTGCTTCATACAAGACCAGATATATCTTACTGTGTAGGTGTGCTAAGTCGTTATATGCAAACTCCTAAGGAATCTCATGGAGCCGCAATGAAGCAATGTCTAAGATATTTACGAGGCACCACTTTGCTAGGGTTAGTGTTCAAGAGATCTCATTGGCATGAAGGATTTGATTGAAGATGACTTCAAGCTTAGGAGAGAGAATATTGGTATAAGCTTGAAAAGATCTTAAATAGATTAAAATTATAGATTATACTTGAGAGATATCTAAGTATAATAAGACTAGGAAATTGTCCTAAAGAGAAAGAAAACTTGTTTAGGTTCTTCTCTATATAAGGAGATGTCGAGCTATCACATAACTTATGAGTTTAATAGTTTGAATTTGAGAGTTTAAAGTTTTGAGTGATTTTCCTTAAGCTAATTAAAAAGAGTTATTCTTTATACTTGTGTTCTCAATATTCTTAAGTTCTATTAAATCAAACACCAAATGCTTAAACAAAACAGAGTTTCTCCTTCTTTTCTAAGCAAAACTTACCTGGAGCTTTACCGATTGAACCTTCGACATACGACCAAGAACCTACTCGTATCTCTGTTATCCGCTCCTCCGATTTCACAGGCAATGGAACTTCACCTCCACGTTTAAACACTCCCTTCCCAACCCTAAACCAAAAACCGAGAATTAGAACAAACAGTCCGGTTCCATAAATAAAAAAAATAGAGCGGTTTACCGGATACGGATAACAAAGCATTCTCGTCCAGCGTGATCAAGAACAGTTCGAGTGAGCCATCTTCCTTCTTGAGACAGAAAGTTGTTTGTTCTTTGAATTGAATCAGATACCATAGCACCTGAATCATCTGTAACTCGATCCGGTACAAATCTCAGCAAGTACGGCGCTTGAACAGGAGGAGTAACCGAAGCAAAAACACTTGCTTGCTTCCCAAGAAACCTACCAGACGATAGAGAATGCGCTCTTAAAAGATCATTCCACAGAAACGGTATCATCCCTTCCGGTTTCTTGCTTCTGTAGCAAATCCCACGTGGACGGTCACAATGAGACTCTAACACCACTCCTTGTGTTCCAAACTCACAGTAAAGATGCCACGCTTTTCGCCACGACCCGGACAAATCAGTCGTTTTCTTATCAATTTGAAGCTTCCGATGACATCTAGCAACTCTCAGACGAAGAAAACTCGTCTCACTCGCCTCTGCCTTTGGACTCAGCCTTATAAATATACATAACTGCAAACAAGAGAATCATTTCAAATCACAGCATCTCTGACTTCTGAGTCAAGCCATTATATATCATAAAAAGAACTTACTTCCAAGACAAATCTTGGTCGAATGGACTTATACACAGTGTTAATGTCTATATCAGAGACAGGCCAATAGAACACGGTGTGGTTGCTGCAGAGACGAGACTCATTCGCTGTTACAGTCAATTCTCCACCTGCTTTCTCGTATGGTTGATTGAAATACCTATCCCAAAGTGTTTTTGTTGTTTCAACTTCTGTTTTCTCTACTGCTTCTCCATTTCGTACCACTTTCATCATCATATCTTCCAACATTTCATCCACATCCTCTGTATATATCGTCGGGTAGCTCTGTAAATTCACCATTCATTTAAAAGACGATAAATGATGGAGCAGAGGCTTTTAGGGATAGAATTAGAGATCCCGGAAATTGGTAATATAAAACAGACCTGATGTGTGAGCCACATAAGAAGAATATCTGAAGCGGGAACAAGACGAGAAATCTCGTTCTTGAACTTGTTTAGTATAAGCAATAACCCTTTGTAGCGTAACCGAGCAGCGATCAAGTAAACGGTTTCAGACATATAAGGTGCTGAAAACTTCTCCCAGAGGAACCTCTGCTTCTCTACATCAGCTTTAATATCTTCATTAGCGGATGATGAAACATGCTCAGATGAATCTTGATCAGCTCTGTTCTCGAAACTCTCCTCTGGATATCTCGTAACCCAGAGTTTCTCGCAATGTAAAACCGCGTAATCCTCGTTCTCATCGTCGTAAATCGCTGGTTTTCCTATAAGTTTTGAGAATCTCTTTTGACAGTAATCTCTGTAACCTACCTGAGAAAGATTGATCAAATCAGACTCTTTCACTTTTGACTTCAGAATCTTATGTTTTGGAATGTTTTCGAGGAGAAGTAATCAGAGCTTACTGGGTTTAAGCAATGACAAAACCAAACCCATTCAACATCAAGAGGAGGTAGAATTATCGGAGGCTTCAAACCAACCGTTAGATCAGAAATTAACGGCATCCAGAGCTCATCGTACCTTTAGGGCACAAACATCAATGAACACTAATCTCAGACTCTCAGTACTAATCAAGAAAAGTCAGCGGACACAAATCACTACTGTATATGACTTTTTTCTTAAATTTGACATGATCAAGAAAAGTCAAAGTTCACAGGAAATTAAATTCGAATCAAAATCCAAATTTTACAGGAATAAATTAAATTCGAATCGACATCCAAAATTTGGGGGACTAAAATAGTTTTGAGGGATACTAAAAATAGTAAGAGGAAAGAAATTAATCTTGACCGTCCGATCAAAATTCAGGAGAAAGGGAAAGGTGTAAATTCACCGTCTGATAGCTTCGGCAATGACCGATGGGTGATGAAGCCACTGAGAGTCTCCGACGGAACTTAAGAGCGCGATGACACGTCTCGCCGCCGATACAATATCAGTTCCAATTCTTACGGCGTCAACCTCGGAGATCTCGCTTAGGCTCCGTGCAGCCACGCCGTTGGCGAACTCTGATCGTCCTAACGACATAAACTTAGAGAGAGAAAGAGTATCAGAGAGAGTAAGATACTATCGAAAGACAAGACATGAACATTAGATTGGAGGTTTTTTGTCAAATGAAGAGACAGAATTTGGCGTATAGAGACGTGAAAGAATAAAGTAGTAGAGTCCAAGTGACCAAACAATTAATTTGCTTTTTATTAAATAAGAAAACAAAGAAGTGAGCAACAATTACGTTTTGGAACATCAATACCACGGTAACACCAGTGTCTACACATCAATTTTTTCAAGTTTTCTAAAGTTGATATTTCAAAAAAAAATATTAATCAAAATATTTTATTAATACATATTTATTAGAACTGAATTCAGCAATTTAAATTCGGCCCACTCAAATCCAAAAAACAGGTCTAAATTAAGCCAAATTGACTGGGCTTTGACCTTACGGTCTAGACTCATTCAGCTTTCAACGATCCAATCTGAACAACAAGATGTTCCGTTCGACAAGGTCAAGCTCCAGCACGACCAAATCCCGAGAAACGAGGAAGGATCTAGCCAAGTCAGAACATATTCTCGCCAGTTCAAACGAGTCTGAAGATCGCAGAGAAAGTTGCTGCACGTGGCGAGATTTCCAGCTGAAGCTGCTGTACGTGGCCGAAATACGCGCTGGAGTTCGGAGCTCGACGAGGCGAGCTATATAAAAAAAAGGAACAGCTTAGTTTGAAGGACTTCTTGCCGGCTTGACCTTTTCTACTTTTGACACCCGAAAACTCTATAACTGCTCTCGGAGCTCTTTTCAGTTCATCTTTTCCATCAAAATCTTTGTAACCGTTTCATTCAACCGATTAATACAAAGTCCTTATTTCAGTTAGTGCTAGCTTATACAGTCAATCTGTTCGAGGAAATCTAACCCTTAATCCTTTAAAGTTCCTTCCTTACAAAAACACATAAACTTCTAAGTGTGGATTTCGGTATCCATATTTTGGCGCCGTCTGTGGGGAAGATCTATAGATTTCTCTTACTCAAGAGCAGATCCTAAGCCAGCTGAAAGCGAAATGGATTCAACTCAACAAACTTCGGGAAACGTCTCACCGATTCCGATCTCTCCAGATTAAGTTACTCCGACCGGCAACGTCAGCCAGACAGCCGGCGGAAACAAACCCAGGGTTACGACCCTCGTCGACACCACTGGCACGAACCCCAACGTTCCCAGCCGTGTGAAACCGATCGTGATCAACCTCGCCACCCCACCGGAAAAGACGAGTAATCAGTCACAAACAGCCGTGAGGCCTCCCTCTCGAACCTAGGTGCGATCTGAGAATCTACCTGCAGCTTCGGCGTCTCAGAGCCGAGCAGCTCCTGTTTCCCCACCGATACCCGTAGCTTCTAAGAGCACATCGGAGTCGGCAAATATACTCCAAATGATCACACATCTGATTGATCGACAACGAGATCAGGAGATCAGATTAGATAGACAGGAAAGGCGTCAAGCCGCAGCTCGATCCGCTGCGAGTCCACCTCCGCGGACTCAGCTCGACTTTTCGTCGATCCCTGCTCCAAGTAATCCACCCGGACAATTCGTGACACCTCTGCGTGGTCCAGGTCCATCAAACTTCGCCACCGCGGCGAACAGGACACCAATTACCGCGGATATTCCGGCTCCAGGAATATCAGAGATGGGACCTCGTCCCACAACGAGATATCCATCTCCGCCTGTACCAACACCAGGAATACCCAAAATGGGACCTCGTCCCAACACGAGATATCCATCTCCACCTTTAAGACCACCTGGAACCGAGCCACCTCGACAAAGATGGCTTGGGTCCTCGGCCTTCGCCTCGAGCTCGCAGACACCAGCCCAGTTCGGCCAACAACCGAACATGACCTCGAGCTCGAGACTTCCTAGCGGGATCCACGAACAACCTATACGGTTCGTTCACCAACAGCTCGGAACTCAGATTCCAAATGATCCGACTCGGGCTAACCACCTCGGCGTCGGCTCAAGAAACCTAGTGCTAGCTTATACAGTCAATCTGTTCGAGGAAATCTAGCCCTTAATCCTCTAAAGTTCTTTCCTTACAAAAACACATAAATTTCTGAGTTTGGATTTCTGTATCCACAACATTATCTACTAACTATTATTATTTTTAACTTCAACCCATTAAAAACCTAAATATTTTTTTGTTTTATTTTTTGCCAAACCATGCCCCAAATAATAAATAACAGCAAATAAAAAAATGTTTTATTTTTTACCATCTCCAAATCCTAATAATAAATAACAACAAAAAAAATCTCTGTTTTATATTTTTGCCAAACCGAGACTCGAATAATAAATAACAGCAAAAAAAAAATTTATAACTATGTGTTTGCTTGATAGAGATGTATATGATTGAAGAAAGTGTAGACTCATCATCAACTATGCTTCCATAATAACAACGCAAAAAGCGTTATGTTATAAGAAACTCACACATCAGCAAAAATTTGAACCAATAAAAACATAACAATAATACATACCATTAACATACTAATAGTTTACTATTTTGCTGACCCATTAAAAGCCAAAAGTTTACAAAAAATAGAAGTCGAAAGCAAATGAGGAGAACCTCAGACCACCACAGTTTGGAGATTTGCATTTCCGGTGGTTACCGAGAACAAATTTTCTTAGGTTTGGCGGGAATAGAGAACTTCTTGGTTTTGGTAGGAAAATGTGATTTTCAGTTTTGGTAGGAAAACATAATTTCTCGGTTATGGCGGAAAAAAGCAAATTCTCGGGTTTGGTGGAAAAAATGTGAATTTTTGGTTTTGGTGAGAAAAAAAAAATTGATTTTGACGCGAAAACAAAATATCTTAGTTTTGACGAGAAAATGCGAGGGAAATGCAACTTTTCAATTTTGACGAAAAATACGATTTCTCAGTTCTGATAGAAAATGTAATTTTTTGGCTTTTGATGGATAATGTAATTTCTTTATTTTCGCGAGAAAATGTGATTTCTTAGTTTTCGCGGAAAATTATAATTTATCAATTTTGGCAGAAAATACAATTTCTCGGTTTGATGGGAAAACAAAATTTCTCGATTTTGGCGGGAATAAACAGTTTCTCGGTTTTGATGGAAAATACAAATTCTTAGTTTTGACATATAATGTGATCTTTTTATTTTCGCGAGAAAATGCGATTTTTTTAGTGTTCGTGTGAAACGCAATTTCTCAGAAGAATGCATTTTTGGTTTTCACGGGAAATTGCAGTTTATCGGTTTTGGTTGGAAGGCGTGATTCTTGGTTTGACGAGAATTTTTTTTTTTGGCGGGAATAGACGATTTCTCGGTTTTTGTGGGGAAATATTTTTTTTGGTTTTGACGGGAAAATACTATTTTTGGTTTTTGCAGGAAGATGAAATTTTTTTGTTTTGGTGAAAAAACTTGATTTCTCTATTTTAACGGGAAAACACGGGTTCTCGCAGGAAAATGTGATTTTTTATTTTTGCGGAAAAATACAATTTCTTTGTTTTGGTAGTAAAATAAAATTTCAGGTTTGACGAGAAACTGAATTTTTTCTTGTTTAGGCAGGAATATGCGATTTTTCAGTTTCGTGAGAAAATAAATTTTTTTTTGTTTTGTCGAAAAATGCAATTGCTCGGTTTTTTTTAAAAGATAAATTTTCTCTATACTAAATTTCTAAGTTACAATATATTTATAGTAACCAAAATTGAATTATTTACCTTCAACTAAATTAATTATTATTTAATATAATTATTTTGAATTATAAAATTTATTTATTTAGCAAATATTTAGTATAAACATATGTTTCTAAAACTATTAAACTATAGTCAATAACATTCATATCAAAATCATTACTATTAAATACAATGGTAATTTGCTTTATATAATTTTAAAAGAGGATCAAATGGCAATTTAGTAGAGAAAATAAATTATATTTGCCATTATCATGAAGATACTTAAAAATGTATTGTTTTATTCTTACATATACATTTATAGATAGTTAGCTAAACAAATTTGATAATAGATTATTATTCTGAAAAATAAAAAAAATAAGGATTTATAATGTTTATTCAGATTTAAAATATATAAATACATAACTTAAACTGATAAAAAATAAATATAATACTTATTTATATTATAAAAATTATTTTATTATATTAAAAATATATATGAAATCTAGAAAAATATTCTGCAGGGTAGCACAGATAAATACCTAGTTCAATTTAAAATTTTAATAGAATTATTGAACCATTTTTACCAAGATTATTTGGGAAAATCTCAATAATACAACTCTCGTTATATCACTTTTCATAACTACCGCAAAGCGCTGATCATTTTCATATACACCACTAACCCAAAAGCTAATTGACTAAACTACCCTATATATAGAAATCGAAAATCAAAAGTCGTAAGTTCCGATGAAGAATACGAATAGGAAACACAGATCCTCTTCATGGCGTAGAAGATAATTATCGAAGAAGGAGAAGCATGGAGTCTGGTGAACGAGGATCCACGAGCGATGATAGTGATCATTGAGGAGGAAAGAGGATTTGGGGAATCCATAAACAGTTAGATTTCTTTGATGATTCGGCGCCTTTTTCTTTACTTTTGGATCCATATGTTCTTAATTTCCCCAATTTCTGCGAGCAACTAGTTATTAAGGATTTCCGTCTTTCAGGTTTGGTTCTTCTCCATGATTGAAAGCACTTTGGTTTCAGAATCTTGTTTAGGTAAAGAGTCCTCGCTAAGAATATGATAAAGAAAAGTTAGATATTAGTGAAACCATAACTTCTGTAGATTGGAGAAATTCATGTAGGATCTTACCCGAAAATGGGATTACTCGATTCAAGTTCTTCTGGAAATCAAAATTTTGTCTAGCTAAGTTAATTTATGAATCTAAGGATTCTTCAGGGTCTATAAAAGTTCCCCAAGTGTATGTTCTATTCTATCTTGAATAAGTGTACTTGTTTACAATTAGTATCTGATTATATACTTGTTTACAATTAGTATATGATTATATAATTTATGTATCAAAGAATTTATCAGGGTTTGATTTTGATTCTGTGAATCATATTTTTATATTAAACTATTTTCTAAAAGTTTGCAGATGATGGAAGGTGCAGATTGGAGAAATTGTGGAGGAATGAGAAGCTTTTTGCTTCAACACGAGAATGAGGCAACAGCATACATTCCATTTCATAGTCTTAGAGAAGCTGCCATGGATCTAGAGATCT